CCCCACCCCCACCCCACCCCACCGCACCTCCTCACCCTCACCCTCGATGGCTCACGTACGCATTCACCGCCCGGTATTAGAACATGGATTAAATTGGCCGGTTGCACGTCAACTGTGCCCTAATTGCTAATCGTCAGGGCATCTATCGAGGGAGACCAGGGTGGGGTGGGGTCAATACTTCGTCCGAGGTGAACCACGCCCCCTTCTCCCCCCCCCCTCGCGTTTTACTCATGTGCATTACACTCGCACAGGCACGATCTGCAAGTGATAAAAACGCGTCTTTTTAATCTACCTCAAAGATCGGGTATGTCCAATGTCACATGTTTTCGCGCTGCTGCTGCTGCTGCTGTTGCTGTTGCTGCTGCCGCTTTCTAACTCAAAATGAGAAGCGACCAAGAGGGTATTTGGCACAAATGTTTAAGCAGTCCCACAGAACACATGATCCGAATACGAAATTGGTAAACAAACTCTTTTTCAGTGCACTTCAATCGTGCGCCATTAAACTATGATTTATGCGAGCAGAAGGGATTCACACACAGGAAAAGGGAAAGTGATTAAAATGTGTAACAGTTTGCATCGCAAATCCATCAAGAGTCAATTAGCATTGGTTTACATGCTCCCTGACCGGTCATCATTGGTCGGCAATCTAGCCATGGGTGCTTGAGTGCTTGCATAAATTGCTTTTGAGTAAATTTGTTGACTGCGAGCAAAGGCGGAGGGAGGGGGTCGAAATCCACTATTCAATGTGAGGATTAAAATCATCTAGCACATCTGGATATTCGACTAACTGATCGCGGTGATGACGCTTCAGTCTGGAGGTGTGGACTGGGCAGTACATTCAATCTCCGCAGCTTTGTATCACTCAGTATGAAGAAAACTCTCATCCTCTGTTTAGTCATTAGAGCTAGAAGAATTTGCACGGAGGGAACATGATGGTTGATGAACTCCGAAATGTGCAGAATATCTCCAACAGAAATTGATACCAGGCGCTCCGCTTGGTGCAATCTATGAGGCAAAGGAACGAGGCGTTTACCAAGAGGGGCACTCTTGAGCAAGCGTCTGTGTACCTGTCTTTGCGATTTAAACACGANTTGTGCGTAGAAGTCTATCAAATGCCGTCGAAAAAACCGTTAGTGTATCTGAGGTTGATATCTAGAACACCCGATTCCACTGCCTCTTTATGTTTTTACTCTTTCACTTGCTCCTGGGGATCAAAATATGTTGGCCGCACGACCAGATATCTGTTTGAGTGTATCCATGATCATCACTTAGCGGGGTTGAGAAGTGGAGTAATTCGATCAATCAAAAGTGTGGTCGTTTCGCACTTTGTCAGCACATTGTTAACGTAACCGAAACTTTCCGATCCTTGTATAGAATAAGGACAGAACACGTGTGGCTTTACATTTTCTCCACCTCGGAGACGGTTAGTATCCGGCTTCACAGCTTAAAAGTAATTTTTGTCAGCACTCAAACTCCCATGACCAGAATGCCGAGGAGTGACCCGTCATGAAATATCCGAGTAAATGATAATTGACTCTTAACTAACTTGGGACTATTCATGATCCTTCGTGAATCCCGATGTGTAACTGGTCTCATTATATATATAGTGGTTAATAGCATCTAACCCACCTAAAAAACATCGATTCATAGTATTGATTCTTTAATAGACTGTTTACGAAAGAGCTATTCAAACAAATAAACCCGGTTTTGCGATGAGATTATTGTGACAAAATACACACTCTGGGTATAAGTATATAAATGAAAAGACGATATGCCTGATGAGCGGCAAGAACCGTGTGCTTCCAGGGCAATTTAGTCCAGCGATTCATGTACTACTTATCCTAATATATATAGCAATATAATGACATGGTATTTGTTTGCTCCAAGCGTTGGCTGGAACCAGGGATTGACGTTTTTGGTAAACAGGGACATATCTGGTACAACAAGTGTATCTGTTCGTCGAGAAAAGTATGATTTACACGAATATCTCATTTAGATTGACCTTTCAAACCATGGGCAGAACCACACATTGCGCTGCCATTTCAGTGCAAGGAATTGCAATTTATAATAAATTCAATTATTCAATAATTACTGTTAGCAATTCTGTGACGGTTTAGGTCGTCACAAATATATTGTCTTCCAACGGGAAATCGTTTTGAAACTGCTACAAGCGTAGATCGGTGATCGATATCCGTTCTTTGGGTGATGCTAAAAATTGTGCCATGTATCTGCCAAAATAGAGATGTACCAACAATATGAGTCTACCGAGACAAAAGTTACCGAATCGCCTAGCCTTACCCAACGACACGGAGAACTTGAGAGATGAGGATACCGTCTGTGCCAGTAGTGGTGTTCTGTTTCCTATTGTGTACCCCTAATCCCTCCTGG